CGCTATTGCCGCGAATAGAAATGCGTTCCTCGGGGGCCCAAGCTGGAGTTGTCCAGGATTGGAGTTATCCCCGATCATTCGGGCGTCCAGCCACTCGGATCGTCGGAGTTTGGAGTACATAGGGGTAGCTTCTGATTCGTGTCTCGGGGGCCCAAGCCAGAGTTGCCCTGGTTTGGAGTTACCCTGGATCATTCGGGCGTCCAGCCACTCTCGGATCATGGGGGCTGGGAGTGGACAGCGGTAAGCTCCTGATTCGTGCTCCGGGGGCCCGATCTGGAGTCTAACCCGGACTGGAGTTGTCCAGGATAATTCGGTCGCCCAAGAGCGTGCAGAACGTGTCAGCGATTCAAATATTGTGCCCTGGGGGAAGAGCCCCCAAGGATGAGAGGCGTATCCCAGGCCGAACCTTTTATTGGTTGAGGACACTCGTCCTCAGGGCCCCGTCCCTCAGGGCTCCGTCCTTGAACCGCCGAGAGTGGTAGTGTTCTTGCGCTCCCTTTCAGAAAGGCTGTTCTGGTAGTGCAAAGCGGTGCGGGCCCCCAGACCCTCGCTTTTTCAAACGCTGCCTCCAGCGGCCCGTTGCGGGCCCCGAGGCCGTCAGAAACGGCTCGGGGGGTGCACGCCTGGCTCCAGGGGGGGGGTGAGAGCTCTGGGGGTCCGCATCTGGTAAAAGACGTCGCGCATCTTCGCTCAAGACCGAAGCATCTGATTGAAAGGTCAAACCGTGAGTGTGTTGGGGAGGGGGCGTGGGCGAGTGGGGGAAGCAGGCAGGGGCTTAGTGGGCCCTGGAAGCGACAGGTTAACTTTGTTTGATAACATTTTCTTTTTGGATTTGTTTCGTAATTTCTGGCGTCGTTTTTTAGGTTTTTCTGGCGCCGTCGATCTTTTTCCGTTGTCAATTCTCTGTCGGGGCATGGTCCAGATCACAGTATCTGTATCTTTGCTGGATCGAACCGTTTTCGAACGGGCTCGCTTGGTTGTCGTTTCTTTTGCTTTCACTATCAGCAGCGACGACGCAGACAGCGACGCACCACAGCAAGACGCAGCTGATCAGCAGAGCAAGAGCAACGACAACAACGACGACGAGGACACGATGGAGCCATGGGTCGACTGCATCCAACGAGCAACGCGGCGCGCAGAGCAGCTCATGCAGCGCCACCAAGCCGCAAACGGGGAGACGATTCGCAGACAGAGATCGTGGCGCATGGCGTCAAGAGTTGCTAACCACGACTCCACCAGATGGACGTGGCGAGCACTCCACTGGCGACCAGGAGACAAATCGTGCCAACGTGGCCATCGACAGCACGGCCGGCAGCGCAAAGGTTGGGAAGACGAGGTCATCCATTTTCTCCAACGACGCAGACCCGCCCTGCATCCAACGCCCAGACCGACCGCCACAGAAGGCCAACCAAGCGTCCTTACCTGGGTTAGCACGGCTCAAGACATCCCCACCTGGTTGACATCCGAACGGCAATACATGCACCCCGCGTAACGGCAGCACGCCGACATCCACATCCAGGACTTGCTTCCCCTCCTTCCTTCCTCTGTCATAACTTTTTGATTGTCTCGTTGCTCCTGTGCACGATTGTCTCGTTGTCCACGTGCACGGCCGCTTGCTTTCCAGCAGCGCATGTTTCAGGAGGCCGCGGCCTCTCCCGCCAGGTCTCAGGCAGGCCCGGACGGCTGTACGCAGTGGTGTTTCGTTCGTTCGTTCGTTCCGTTTTCTCCATGAGTTGCATTCTTGTCGAAACGGTCAAAAGATGGCTCTGCCGTTTCTGGGGCCGGCTAAGGATGGTGCGGGAGGGGGGGAGGGGACTGGATCGGGAGTGGGAGGGAGGGAGAGGGCTCCCCCCACCTCCTGCCGCTGCTCGCCAACCCCCTCCCCCTCCCCCCCCCCCCCCCCCCTTCGTTCGGCCAACTCGTCCTCCTTCCCCTCCTCCTCCTCCTCCTCCTCCTCCTCCTCCTCCTTGCGTTGAGTGGACTTCCAAGATCTGGGCTTGCATCATTCCTGAGGAAAGACATGTGCGACAGCGTGAGAACCGGCTCGGGCAGACTAGCGGGCAAAAGAGCCGTTGCGCGCAGCGGTACAGATGGGTGGCAGCGAGATAAGGAAAAAGACAGAAACCCGCCAGGGCGCAGAGCATGCGCGCCGAGGTCCCGTAGGGAGTGATGGAGCTGATCACGATCATCATCATCATCATCATCATCATCATCATCATCATCATCATCATCATCATCATCATCATCATCATCATCATCATCATCATCATCATAATCATCACCATCGTCAGCATCATCATCTTCATCATCATCATCGTCGTCGTCATCGTCATCGTCATCGTCATCATCATCATCATCGTCATCCTCATCCTCATCCTCATCCTCATCCTCATCCTCATCATCATCATCATCATCATCATCATCATCATCATCATCATCATCATCATCATTATCATCATCATGGTCGTCATCCTCATCGTCATCATCATCATCGTCATTACCATCGTCATCATCGTTACCATCATCAACATCATCATCATCATCGTCATCGTCATCATCATCTGCCTTCACCTCTTCTCGTCACTTGTCCGCCTGCCTTCTTCTCGTTTGCCCTCATCTCGCCTCGTGTCCGCCTGCCCTCGTCTCGTCCCATACCGCCAACGGGAGTCCTTATCATCATCTGCCTTCACCTCCTCGTCTTTCTCCTCCTCCTGGGGCTAGGAGGAGCGGGGATGCTTGTCTGTCGGCGTTGGTAACGATCATCATCATCTGCCTTCGCCTCCCCTTCTCCTCCTCCTCCTTCTCCTCCTCCTCATCCTCTGGGGCTGGGAGGAGCGGGGCGGCTTTTCTCGCTGCGCTGGCGCCTGGCCCCGGCGAGCCTCGCCGTGGGCCGCGTGGGCACGCAGGCCGGGGGCGTCGGAGAGGCGGACGGAGCCGCCGCGCAGGGCAGGCGTGAAGCAAGGCCCAGGACGAGCCGATGATGGCTCTGCAGTGCAGGCTGATGCACAGCGCTGGAACAGACTCGACTAGACGTAGGAGTGACCTGTCGCCGGAGTGACCTTTGATGCGGGCCCAATGGGGTCCCCCGATCGCCGAGGGCGGTGGGATAGTAGCGCGTGTTTGGTCACCCCGCGGCCCCCACAGAGCCGCGCACCAAAGGTCACTCTTGCCCGGGGTCGCTCTTGCGTGTAGCCGACAGACGTCAGCATGTAGACCAGGAGGCTGCAGGGGTTCACGGGGCAGCAGCAGAGAGCACGCAGGCACAACGGGAAGGGCAGGAGCGGGGTGGCAGGGAGGAGAAGGTGAGGGGAAGGGACGACCACCACTACTGCTTCGTCCCCCCGCGGCCAGCCCGCGCACATCGGGAGATGGAAAGCCGCGGTTGCCGCCACATGACGATGACTGTCTGGTGCGACCGCCCCAAGGCGCAGAGCTTTACTCGAGCTGCGGCGCCGGGGGAAGAACTGCAAGGGGGAACGTGGGGAGCACTGATGCTCGGAGCACCTCCTGTCCAGGCGATGCACAGGAGCAGTTCGACGATCTGAGCACGCAGGCGCCCGAGTCGGCAAGCGAGGCGCGCACACGCTCAAACCTGCAGTGCAATCACGCCGATGCACAGACCGACGCGGTGCGCGGGGGTGCTTCCCTACTCGTGCAGATGCTGCTGCTCCACCCCCTCCTCCTCCTCTTCCTCCTCCTCCTCTTTCAGATCGTCGTCATTTCCCACGTTCGCGGGCGACAGCTCCAAGCCAGCGGAAAAAAAACAGAGCTGCGCGCAGCAGCTCCACAAGGCCAGAATCGCGAGAGGCCGCTGGGCCGGAGTCACGGGCATGAGACGCGAAAGTCCGATCGACCAAAGTCGCGAGGCCTGAATTGCGAGAGGCCGATAGGACGCAGTCGCGAAAGGCCAACTGGACTGTCTGGGGAATGATCCGCTTCGCGCTCACAAAGCCCCCGTCGCAAGCAATAATTGCAGAGGAACCGAGGAACATGGTTATCGTCGCTGTCTCCTACTCCTGACCCATCAACCACCCAGAAAGGAAAAGAAGGGTAGCTACCTGGCGCACGTCGAGGTTCACGGCGCACGTCGAAAAAACACAATCCGTGTTGCAACGCTCCTCCTCCCTCTCCTCTCCATCCAACCTTCTCCACATTCTGAACTGGAGAAAGGGGGACATCACTTGGACGGCGCCATCACCGTTGCAAATGCGGCGTCGAATGTGCCTTTACTCGAACAAACCTCGTCGGCGTGTAGTTCAGTGTAGGGCTTCACCTCAATACTGTTCGCGCGCAAGTTCGCAGTGATAATGTTGAACACGCGGCCGACAGCAAGCACATCATGGTACTCGTACTTGTGAGCAGTTTTTAGTGACTTGTGACGAACCCGGCCAAGATTTACCACGCTGGGACGCTTATAGAGTGAAGGTCGTTCCCCGTTTGCTTCACGGTGTGCCCATGCGCTTCAACATGTCAGACAATTCGGATAGCCAGAGCTGGTGGCGGATGATGGAGAAGAGTTCAACCGTCGCGGGCGCTGTGGCGCAGCCAGAGGTTTCTTGCGAAGCATGTGCTCCACCTTCTCGAGGATCGCCTCCATCACCTCGAAGACCGCCTCCAGCGTCTCCAGGGTCGCCTCCAGCGGCCTTGCCCTTGGTTTCCGCAACTCTTTGCACTGCGGCTGCCCGCTCACCACGCTGACGAGTGCCGCCTGGAAACCTCGGGGGCCGACCATCCCATCGACCTCAAGCTGGATGCCCTCATCGAAGACCTCAAGCTGGATGCCCTCATATGCTTTCCAAAACCTTCATCGCCGACACGTGGGCACCATCATCTTCAGGGGCTTGATCAGTGTCGGCGCCGCCGTTGGCTTTGTCGTTGTCATCGTCATCGTCGTCATCAGCATCGCTACTACCATCAAAGTGTCTGCCGTTGTCCGTCATGACATCGCGCCTGCCCAGTCACCGGCTCGTGCTGAAGGTCCCGCGCGCCAGCGCGGCCTGCGAGACGCGCTGGGAAGTTCCCGCGCGTCGGCCGCTCCAGACTAGCTGGCCGCTCTGCGCGCGAGCCTGCGCGCGCTAGTGCGGCCGCAGCGATGCGCCAACCAGCGTCAAGCAGTCATCGCAATCGCCGCCGCATGGGCGTTGCAAACCAAGCTGCGGGGGGGGTGGATGGGGGCAATTGCGCGAACAGTGAGTTGTCAACTGCAAGTTCGGCAGGGTGGTTTGCACCACGCAGACTGCACCACTTCTTTTGCATCACGTAGTTAAACAAGTATTCGTATCTACCTCCCCCCCGGACTTAGCCGCTCTCTTTTCGTAGGGCAATTTGTTTGTGATTCTGCCCCACCGTCCACCCTGAATATGAACAGTCTAGGCAGGCCTGTATCGCCCCCCCTTCGTCCTCTGCAAAATGTACTATGCGCGCACTCCTTTATCAACAACCACCAGTTTTCAGTAATCCCTTGCAACAAATAAACCACCTGTTGTCAGTAATCCCTTGCAACAGATGGGTTGAAGTGCACATGCGCGCGTCGTCGCGCGCGTTCGCCGAAATCATTCAACAACTTTAGGTATCGTACGGGTTTTTGAAAAAAAGTGTCCCGACATCATGTAGCATTGCATGGTTTGCAACAGCCAGTTTCAAAACAATTTGCGCTCGAGCTCTTGCGAATTCTGAAGAAAACCGTGCGTTTCTCAAGGTTGCCATAGCTTGCTATCATACAGGTTTCTCGCGCGTGCATGTCGGAATCGCTAGATCGCCCTTGTGCACGTGTTGTCGCCTTGACCCCCTGCAAAACAAGTGATGGAGTGCACACGCGCGCGGTCGCGTCGTCGCTCGCGCATGCCGGAATATTTCAAAAACCTGCAGGTTTCGAACGGGTTTTGAACTCGGATTAGAAGACCCATGGTTTCGTAACGCGCTTTTGGGAGCTAGATATACATAAAAGCTTGGGATCGGGCTCTTCCGGGTTCTTAAGAAAACCCTCGTTTTTTTACCTGTTCATACCTTGGCCACCAAACGGGCCTGTCGCGCGCGCGTGTCGGAATCGTTCAAACGCCCTTGCGCGCGTGTTGTCGCAAGAATCCCTCGCACAGAATGGAGGCGACGTGCACGCGCGCGCGTGCCGAAATCCATCAACACCCCCATGTTTCGTGAGGGTTTCAAAATGGAGTGCCCCGGGAACCTATACACAACACAGTTTTTTTTTGGAGTAAAAAAACATCAGTTGTCAAACGTGCCAGCGATCGAGCTCCTGCGAATTCTTTAGAAAAAGCGACTGGTTTCTAACATGCCCATTGGGTTCGGTCAAGCGGGCGCCTCGCGCCGCACGCCCAAGTCATTCCAGCGCCCTGGTGCGCGGGCCCGGGGGGGGGGCGCGATCCGTGTCACAGAACACCATGCGGGCCACTCTCGCGAGTCGGCCGCGCGCGCAGGTCGAACTTTCGAACCTTCTCCAAAACCTTTAATCACCGACGCAAGGGCGCCGTCATCGTCGTCGGCGTGGCCAGCATCGGCGCCGCCATCCGCCTTGCCGTCGTCGCTGTCATCATCGCTGCCAGCATCGCTACCATCATCATCGCGTCTACCGTTGTCGACGTTGCCGTGGTACCGCGCCCGCATCGACAATCTCCGACCTTCCTCGGTCATCCCGATTTTCCTCGATCCTCATCCTCCTCGATCCTCGTCCTCCTCCATCGATCCTCGTCCTCCTCGATCCTCTTTCGTCTCGATTTTCTTCCCCATCGTCCCCCTCGATCCTCGTCCCCCTAGTCGACCCCTGTCCTCCTCAATCCTTTCCTTCCTCCCCCCAGAGAAAAAAGGTGCAGCGCCTGGCCCTTGCGCGCTTCGACGTGGGGCCCTTCCTGCTGGGCCGCGCCATCGCGGCCGCGTCTTCGGAGCACGACCAGGCGCGGTCTCGGGGGCTGGACGTCGTCGTGCGTCGTGCGTCGCCCGTCTCTCCCTCTGTGCACTCAGCGCGTCCTGTGTGCACACCCGCCGGTGTGGAGCAACGCTCGTGGACATGTAGCGGGGGCTCTTCGGCCAGTGTGTTGGTGCTGAGCTGCGCTGTCAATGCCTCGCTGTCCTGGGGCTCTGGCGTTTTCTTGCTCGCTCGATCTCTGACGTGTGTGCGGAGCTACGCTGTCAATGCCACGCTTTTCTGTGGCTTTGACGTGGTTCGGCCCTGAAAGCACGCCGCTTGATGCGGCGGAGGGATGACTTTCTCGCGTCGTGAAGAATCTGCCGTCGAAAATCGCGGCCGGAGGTGTTTGGTCACTTTCGGCTTCCTGGGGTCGTCGCTGGCCCTGGTGGCCGTCAGAACACAGCCCAGGATGACAAGCTGGTCCTGGAGAGGGTGTGCAGACCTTTGGGAGCCGGGTTGCCAAAACTAGGACGTCAGATGTCTGGGTCCGTCGTCGTCGTCGTCGTCGTCTTCGTCGTCGTCGTCGTCGTCGTCGTCGTCGTCGCCGTCAAGGTTTGGAGAGGTCGTTCGTCGTCGTCGTCTTCGTCGTCGTCGTCGTGGTCGTCGTCGTGGTCGTCGTCGTGGTCGTGGTGGTCGTCGTCGTCGTCGTCGTCGTCGCCGTCGTCGAAGTCTGAAGAGGCTGTCATCTTCTGCCTCTGCGGGCCCCGAGGTGAGCCCGGGGGCCGCCGGAGACCGGTCCAGGATGAAGAGCTGGCCAGAACGGGCCCCAGGAGGTGTCTGGGGGCCAATTGCGAGCGGCTTTTGATCGTCGTCGTCGTCGTCGTCGTCGTGGTCGTCGTCGTCGTCGTCGATTGTCGACGGCGTCGTCCGTAGTGCGTCTTCCGTTTTCCGTCGTCCGTCGTCGTCGTCGTTTGGGGGAGAGGTGGAGGCGGAGGGGGGCGGAGATCTGAGGGGGGGGAGGAGGCGGAGGGAGAGAAGGAGGAGGGAACAAGGAGCGAGGAGCAAGGAGCGAGGAGCGAGGAGCGAGGAGTGAGGGGGCGGAGTCAGGCGACCCAGGAGGTCGGGAGGAGGTGGCTAGGGGGTGAGAGGGAGGAGAAGCAGGAAGAGGGGGAGGAGAAGGAGAAGGGGGACGATGAGGAGAAGGAGGAGGACGACGAGAAGGAGGCAGAGAAGGAGGAGGAGGAGGAGGAGGAGGAGGAGAAGTAACAGGAGGAGAAGGACGAGGAGGAGAAGCAGAAGGAGTATGAGACCAGGAGGATGGTGTTTAGGAGAAGGAGGAGGAGCATGAGGAGGAGGATGGGGAGGGAGAAGGGGGAGGTGGCTAGGGATAATGAGGATGAGGACCCGGTACGGGAAGCATACTAGGAAGAGGAGGCGGAGGATGATGAGGAGGTACGGGAAGAGAAAGAGGAGGAAGTGGAGGCGGATGTGGAGACGAAGGATGACGGAGGGAGTATCGGGACCGGGATGGGAATGAATGATTTGTTGTTGATGGTGGTGCTGATGATGATGATGATGATGCTTAGGATGGTGATGATGCTGATGCTGATGCTGATGCTGCTGATGATGATGATGCTGATGATTAAGATGATGATGAGGCTGATGATGATGACGAGGCTGATGCTGATGATGAGGCTGATGCTGATGCTGCTGATGAGAATGACGAACATGATGAATATTAGGGCAATTCTGCTGCTGCTGATGATGATGATGGTGATCATGATGATGATGATGATGATGATGATGATGATGATGATGATGATGATGATGATGATGAGTATGGTGATCATGATGATAGCAAAGACGATTCTGATGGTTGCGGTGGTGGGCGATGACGATGAATGTGATGATGCTGCTGCTGCTCATGATGATGATGCTGATGATGATGCTGCTGATGTTGATGATGATGATGATGATGATGATGAGCAGGAGGGTGAAAATGATGATGATGATGATGATGATGATGATGATGATGATGATGATGATGATGATGATGATGATGATGATGATGATGATGATGATGATGATGATGATGATGATGATGATGATGATGATGATGATGATGATGATGATGATGACGTTGATGCTGCTGAAGATGATGTTGATGACGATGATGACGATGCTGATGCTGATGCTGATGCTGATGCTGATGCTGATGCTGCTGCTGATAATGATGCTGACTATTAGTATTGGTATGGTTGTTGTTGGTGTTGTTATGGTTGTTGATTGCGAAGGCCTTACGGCCAGTGCCTCCGACCCTGAGAACGACGAAGATGAACACGAGGGGGGGCAGGGGGAGGAGGATGAGTGGGAGGTGGCGGAAGGGTGGAGGAGGTGGATGAGGGAGGAGGAGGGGGGAGAAGGATGTGGAGGAGAAGCAAAGAGGATGAGAAGGAGGCAGAGGAGAGCAGGAGGAGGGGGAGCAGAGTGGGGGGGGGGAGGAGCTGGAGGAGGATGAGGAGGAGGAGGAGGAGGAGGAGGAGGAGGAGGAGGCCAGAGGCTTTCTTGGGACAGCCTGGGGCTCTCTTGAGGCCGTCTTGGGCCGTCCAGGGCTCCTCTTGCGCCGTCTCGAGGCACTCTTGGAGGCCTCCTGGGCAATTTGGGGCTCTCCTGGGCTGTCTTGGGGCAATCTTGGGGGCCTCTTGGGCCGTCTTGGAGGCGTCTTGGGCCGTCTTGGGGCCCTCTTCGGCCGTTAGGGGACCCTCTTGGGGGCCTCGTGGGCCGTCTCGGGGCGATTTTGGGGGCCTCTTGGGCCGTCTTGGCGCGTCGGGAAGCGGAAGAGGCAAGAACGCTAACATCTGTTAAACACGTATGGGAAATCCATGAATTTTACCTCTTGAGGCTCTCGTCGGAAAGCTCCTGTAGGCCTCTTGGGGCGCTTTGCGTGCCTCTTGGGCCGTCTGCAGGCCGTCAAGGCGTCTTGGACAGATTGTTCGGCGATTCGGGGTTCTCTTGGACTGTCGTTGGGGTCTCTTGGGGCACTCTTGGCCCGTCTTGGGGCTTTTTGGGGCTCCGGGACTCCCCGGGGGGGCGTCGTATCTGACCCCCCCCTTCGGGACCCCCCCCCCGGGCGGGGAAGGGATCGAAGGGAAGGGGCTTCCCTTCGACTCAAGTACGACGTTGCTCAACTTCGCTTTGGTTGGCGCGCTGAGGAGGTCCCTGGAAAAGAAGGGAGCTTCGACGAGCCCAGGGAAGGGAGGAGGCAGGGAAAGGGGACGACAGAGACTACGACCAACGAATGACGGAGATGACGACTTGAACGGATAAGCCCCTCACACACACGCCGACAGGGTCGGCGGATTTTGTTGTTCTTCGGAGTATCAGGATTCTTAGCATCAGTGTTGTATATTGTTGTTGTCGCTGTTGTTGTTGTTGTTGTTGCTGTTGTTATTGTTGTTGTTGTTGTTGTTGTTGTTGTTGTTGTTGTTGATGTTGGTGTTGTTGCTGTTGGTTGTGTTACCATTATCATAACCATCATGGTGATGAGGACGATGATCGAGGGGATGAGGGGAACGGGAACAGTTGGAGCACGTGGAGGAGGGGTAGGAGGAGAGGGGTGATGGTGAGCAGGGAGAGCAATCAGATGAGGAGGAAGAGGAGAATGAGGAGGAGGAGGAGGACTAAAAGGATCATTCGGATAATAATTATAATGATGACCAGGTGTGGGAAGAGCAGAGGGAGGAGGACGAGGTAGAGGACGCGTAGCAAGGCGGCGACGAAGAGGAGAAGGAATGTGGAGAGAAGTCGGGAGGATGAAGAGCTCTGTATAGTTGCATTTTGCAGGATCGGCCGCAGTTTCAAGCCACTTGATTCTTGGCCACGCCAAATCGGGGCACTTGGATGTTGGACGCACCGTCAGAACTGAGTGCAAGCCATTTCTCTACCTGGTAAGTTCTGGTGCCCACCAGGATCCTGACCCCTGGGGGTCCCTGGACGTTCCCAGACGCTCCTGAAGACTTCCGGTTGCACCCAGAGGCCCAAGCACATCAGACACGTATTTCAATTTCCCTAAAACGTCCCAAACAACAAATTTCTCGATCCTCGATAGTCGCGGGCGAGATTGAACATCGAGTGCAAGTCACTTCCATACAGCCGTTGTTTCGATACGTCGTCGCATTCTGGCTCATGCAAAAGCTTGCAGACTGGCACCTAGTAGCATGTGAGCAAGGCTCAGCCATCAGACCCAACATTCAATCTTTGTCATCATCTTTTCCCCCCTCCTGCGCCGTCGAGGATCGAAGTGTTTGCGCACTCCGGGGACCAGAGGCCTCCTGCGACTTCGGAGCTAGACCTTGGGGGGGCCTCCCGGGACCTCGGGAGAGCTCTGGAACCTCTCCCCTTGATGTCAAATTTTCTGCATATTTAGTGGTGCGTGCGCTGTGCAAGCGCTTTTCGAGCGGACTTCGTGGGGGGGGGGGTACTCCTCGCAGGCCACTGGACATTCGAGCAGCAGTTGCAATCCGCCCATCGCACCTTCAGCGGGTGGTAGAGGGAACATGGCGGCAAAGGTTGGTCGACAACCGAGGCCCATGTCCCGTGGTAGCACGTCGTCGTGTAAGTTCTTGGCGTCGTGGCTCCACGCTGTCGCAAGTTCGATCTTTGTGGTTTGGTGTCTCATCATTAGCGTCATCAGACGTCTCAGGCATCCTGAACCCTACACATGGTTCATGTCTAATTATTCGAAAGTTCGTTGTTTTTAGGGGTCCAAGATCCTTTCATTTCTTATTGTTCTATCCTTGGCCTCTTCCTGGCCACTAGGGGGCCAGGAACAATCAGAAACGAGCACAATTAGAAATGAACACGATTGGAATTGAACGACGTGTGTACTTCCCATTGCTGTAACCTTCATCCCTTCCAATGCAATTGCGGCCCAAGCCAGCCTGGCTAAAGGCAGGGATTGTTGTTGCATGCCGGCGGCATGCGGCCTCGCACCGCGAGTCCTGCTCCAGGTAAGAATGAGGGCCACAGCGAATCGACCCCATTAGGCTCTGGCGCTTGTACACTTCACGCGACGGCTGTGCCATCAAGGTGCGAAAGCCTGCTGGCTTTTTTTGTTGGTGTCGCTGTGCTTGTGATAACGCTGATTCGGCATTGGGATGTCCCGCCCGTAGTTCCTGCAGACTCTCCCATCACCGAGGGTTTCAGTGCCGAGCGAGCCAGAGAGGTTGTAGTGGATTTGGCAGCTTGCGGCGTCAAATACATAGGTTCGCCAGAGAACGAAGTCTGCGCTGCAGAAGCTGTTCAGCGCCATGCCCGCCTTGCAGCCAAGGCGCTTGAAGGAGATCTCGATGTCGACGTGCAGTCCGCGTCTGGCCATTTCTTCCTTGACTTCCTCGGCGGGCTGACGAACGTCTACCGCAACTTGACAAACGTCGTGGTAAGGCTGCCAGGAGCTGGCGCGCCAGCTGCGAATGGCCCCCGATGCGCCCTGCTTGTGGGCTCGCACTTCGACTCGACGTTCGGATCGCCTGCGGCCTCCGACGCAAATGCGGAGGTGGCCATCATGGTCGAGCTGATCAGACTGTTCTCGAGTGAGCGTCTGCCTGTCGACCTAGTGTTCGTCTTCAATGGCGGAGAGGAGACACCCACCATGATGAGACGTGGACGATCGTGCTGACGCCGACGTCGAAGATGCCGGGGACCATCCCCCAAACGGTCCTAGCACCGAGGGCTTCTTGCTTCGTTTGAAAGGAACTGGGCCTGGGTGTCGGTCTGGCCGGCTTGCTGTCGCCGTTGCCGCCCGTCGCCGCCGTTCGTCGCCGCTGCTTCTGGGCCTGGGTGTCTGTCTGGCTGGCTTGTTGTCGCCGTCGCCGCCCGTCGCCGCCTCCCTCGCCGCTGCTTCTGGGCCTGGGTGTCGGTGGCCGCTCTTCTCGTCGCCGTCGCCGCCCGTCGCCGTCTTGTCGCCGCCATTCGCCGCCCGTCGCCGCCGTCCTGTTGCACCCTTCCCAGTTGTATTGCAACCGGTTGCGTTACAATCGGTTGCCATCGATTGCAATGTATTGCGCCACATAAATTGCACCACATAGCTTGCACCACATCGATTGCACCATATGGATTGCACGGTACTGCATGTCTTGCACCACGTAGTTCACGCCACACACACATATATATTGCATTATATAGCTTACGCCACATGGCTTAGTTTACATTTGTTTGTAGATGTATATGAATATGTATGTATGTTTATATATATATATATGCTGCACCACATAGATTGCACTTCGTCGCCATCGTCGTCGTCGTCGTCGTCGTCGTCGTCGTCTTCCCTCCTCCCTCGTCGTTGTCGTCGTCGGCGTCGCCGTCCTCCCTTCTTCGTCGTCGTCGTCGTCGTCGCCGTCCTCCCTCCTCCCTCGTCGTTGTCGTCGTTGCCGCCGTCGTCGTCCTCCTTCCTCCCTCCACCGTCGTCGTCGTCGTCTTCGTTGGTGACGTCGTCGTCGTCGTCGTCGTCTTCGTCGTCGTCGTCGGCGTCGTCGTTGTCGTCGTCGGCGTCGTCGTCGTTGTCATCGTCGTCGTCGTCGTCGGCGTCAGTGTCGTCGTCGTCGTCGTCGTCGTCGTTGTCGGTGTCGTCGTCGTCGTCGCCGTCGTTGTCGGCGTCGTCGAAATCGTTGGAGACGTCGTCGGTGTAGTCGTAGTCGTTGTCGGCGGCGTCGTCGTCGTCGTTGTCGCTGTCGTCGTCGGCGTCGGTGTCGTTGCCAAGTGCCATTTGGTTCCCACCGTCACGGTCTTAAGAGGTTTTGCAAAAGGAGTTGCGGGTGGGTGGGTGGGATGTTTGCGCGAGCAGTGGAGTGGACAACTCAGTGCGAACAGAAATTCATTTTCCTTTCTAAAAGAAGAATAGACCCCCCCTGGAGTTAACGGGTCACCTTTCCGTATTGCAAGTTTACATATGATTCTGCCCCATCGTCCATCCGAGTTGTGAGTTCATATTAACCCAGCCAAACCGGTATCGCCCCCCCCCCGCCATCCTCTGCAAAAAAAACTATGCGCGCGCACTCGTTTATCACAACCACAAGTTTTCAACAATCCCTTGCAACAAATGGGACGAAGTGCGCACGCGCGCGTCGTCGCGCGCGCATGCCGAACTCCTTCAAGAACCTTCGGCTTCGGAAGGATATCAAAATCGAGTGTCCAAAACACACACAACAACACATAGTTCCGCAACACGGAATTTCTAAAACAGCTTATGCGCGCGTTCTTGCGAAATCTTACGGAGACGATCGGTTTTCAAGATTTTTTAAACATATTACCAAACGGGCTTCGCGCGCGCGCATGTCGAAATCTTTCGAACGCCCTTGCGCGCGTGCCGTCACGAGAATCTTATGCACAAATATGGGAAGAAATGCAGACGCGCGCGTCGTCGCGCGCGCATGCCAACATCCTTCAAAAACCTTCGGTTTCGAGAGGGTTTCAAAATCGTGTGTCTAAAAATCATATACAAACATACAAGGTTTCGCAACACGGATTTTCAGCAAAAGCGTGCGCGCGCGCTCTTGCGTCGTCGTCGTCGTCGTCGTCGTCGTCGCCGTCCTCCCTCCTCCCTCTTCGTCGTCGTCGCCGCCGTCGTCGTCCTCTGTCTTTCCTCGTGTTCGTCGTCGTTGTCTTGGTGTCGTCGTCGTTCCGTCGTCGTTGGCGCCGTGTTCGTCCTTCCTCCCTTGTTGTCTTCGTCGGCGTTTCGTCGTTGTCCCTCCTATTTCGTCGCCGTCGTCGTCGTCGTCGTTGTCGTCGTTGTCGTCTTCCCTCCTCCCTGGTCGTTGTCGTCGTCGCCGTCGTCGTCCTCCCTCCTCCCTCGTCGTCGTCGTCATCTTCGTTGGCGACGTCGTCGTCGTCGTCGTCTTCGTCGTCGCCGTCGTCGTCGTCGCCGTCGTCGTCGTCGTCGTCGTGGTCGTCGTCGTCGTCGTCGGTGGCGTTGTCGTCGTCGTCGTCAGCGTCGGCGTCGTCGTCGTCGTCGTCGGTGTTGTCGTCGTGGTCGTCGTTGTCGTCGTCGTCGAAGTCGTTGGAGACTCGCCCGCAACGTCTACCGTTGCCGACGTTGCCATGATACCGCGCCCGCCCAAGTCGCCGACTCGCAATAAAGTGCCCGCTGGTATGTGCCCAACGATCAGCGCCACCGCGGCCGCGTCGGTCGCGCCAGACCAGCTGGCCGCTGCGCGCGCATGCTTGGGTTGGCGCGGCCGCAGAGACGCAACAGCCAACGCCGAGCATGCATCGTAATCGCCACCTTATCTGTTTTGCAAACCAAGTTGCGGGTGGGTTGGTGGGATGCTTGCAAGAGCACGGGATGTGTCAAGTCGTTTGTTAAAATCAGTTCTCGTTTCTAAAAAACAGAATCGTCTCTACCCCCCCGGCGTTATCCCCCCCTTTCGGGTGTGTAAATCATATATGATTATGATCACATGTCGATCCTAAATATGAGTTTACATTATGCTCGAGGGGCCGGGATTGCCCCCCCTGAGGTTCCCTTGTATAAAGCGATACGCGGGAACATCTTTTGTTCGAACATAAGTTTTTTTCGCGAATCCTTTGCAAACAGTGACACGAATTGCACACGCGCGGGTAAACCTTCGGTGCCGGAAGGATTTCGCAATCGAGTTTCCAAAGCAACATACAAAAACACAGGGTTTCGCAACATCGAATTGCAAAAAAAGCTTACGCGCGATCTCTTGCGAAATCTTAAGAAAATCTTACGCGAACGCCCTTGCGCATGTGCCGTCGCGAGAACCCCCTGCAAAACATTGGACGAAATGCAGACGCGCGCGTCGTCGCGCGCGTATGCCGAAATCCTTCAAAACCCATCGGTTTCGGAAGGATTTCGCAATCGAGTTTCCAACAAACCTACAAACACACAAGGTTTCGCAACACGGATTTTCAACAAAAGCGTGCGCGCGCGCTCTTGCGTGGTCGTCGTCGTCGTCGTCGTCGTCGTCGTCGCCGTCCTCCCTCCTCCCGCGTCGTCGTCGTCGTCGTCGCCTACGTCGTCCTCTGTCTTTTCTCGTGTTCGTCGTCGTCGTCCTCTTTGGCGTCGTGGTCGTTTCCGTCGTCGTTGTCGCCGTGGTCGTCCCTCCTCCCTCGTCGTCGTCGTCGTGCGTCGTCGGCGTCTCGTCGTCGTCCCTCCTATTTCGTCGCCGTCGTCGTCGTCGTCGTCGTCGTCGTCGTCGTCTTCCCTCCTCCCTCGTCGTTGTCGTCGTCGGCGTCGCCGTCCTCCGTCCTTCTTCGTCGTTCGCGTCGTCGTGTCCTCCCTCCTCCCTCGTCGTTGTCGTCGTTGTCGCCGTCGTCGTGCTCCCTCCTCGCTCGTCGTCGTCGTCTTCGTTGGCGACGTCGTCGCGGTCGTCGGCGTCGGCGTCGGCGTCGGCGTCGGCGTCGTCGTCGTCGTCGTCGACGACGGCGTCGTCGTCGTCGCCGCCGTCGTCGTCGTCGTCGACGTCGTCGTCGGCGTCGTCGACGTCGTCGTCGTCGTCGGCGTCGTCGTCGTCGTCGGCGTCGTCATCGTCGTCGTCGTTGTCGTCGTCGTCGGCGTCGGCGTCGTCGTCGTCGTCGTTGTCGGTGTCGTCGTCGTCGTCGTCGTCGTTGTCGTCGTCGTCGAAGTCGTCGGAGACGTCGTCGGTGTCGTCGTATTCGTCGTCGGCGTTGTCGTCGTCGTCGTCGGCGCTGGTGTCGTTGCCAAGTGCCATTTGGAACCTCCCGTCACGGTTTTAAGAGGTTTTGCAAACCAGGTTGCGGGTGGGTGGGTGGGATGTTTGCAAGAGCATGAGATGTGTCACATCATGGGTAAACATCAATTCTCCTTTCTAAAAAGAAAATAGACTCTACCACCCCCCGGCGTTATCGCTCCCCCTTTCGGGTATGTAAATCACATATGATTCTGACCACATGTCCATCCTAAATATGAAATCACAATGTCCCAGGCCAGCCGGGTTCCCCCCCCTGAGGTTCCCTTGTGAAAAACACTATGCGGTGACATTTTTTGTTCTAACATAGAACTTTTTCGCAAATCCCTTGCAAAAAATATGACAAAATGCGCACGCGCGCGTCGTCGCGCGCGCATGCCGAAATCCTTCAACAACCTTCGGTGCCGGAAGGATTTCGCAATCGAGTTTCCAAAGAAACATACAAATCCACAGGGTTTCGCAACACTGATTTGCTAAAAAAACTTACGCGCGAGCTCTTGCGAAATCTTGAGAAAACCATAGGTTTTTCAAGATTTTTACAAAATGCTACCAAACGGGTTTCGCGCGCGCATGTCGAAATCTGTCGAACGCCCTTGCGCGTGTGTCGTCGCGAGAATCCTTTGCAAAACATGAGACGAAATTCAGACGCGCGCGTCGTCGCGGGCGTATGCCGAAATCCTTCAAAAACCTTTGGTTTCGGAAGGTTTTCAAAATCGTGTGTCCAAAAAACATACAAAAACACAAGGTTTCGTAACACGGATTTTCAACAGAAGCGTGCGCGCACGCTCTTGCGTCGTCGTCGTCGTCCTCCCTCCTCCCTCGTCGTCGTCGTCGTCGTCGTCGTCGCCGCCGTCGTCTTCTGTCTTTCCTCGTCGTCGTCGTCGTCTTGGCGTCGTCGTCGCTTCCGTCGTCG